ACCACCATGTGCTTAAGGCCATTTCTGTTTATTCTCCACAACTGCTATACTTTTTTTACATTCTCTTTTCTTACTCCTTAACTTTCTTGAGAAGCTACCCAGATGGTGAAAGATGGTGCTAATTGCAGTTATTGAATGTCATTCAATAAAAGCGATGACAAGGCAAACATACTGGTTTTATCAATTCTCTTTTGGACTAAGTTGATGTTACTTGTTGCCTGCAAGGCGCACCATGCCTTCCCAGGGGTCTCACTGGTGTACATTTGGCTTTCAGGGACCATGGCTAAGCCAACCGGATCATTAGCCAGAAGCAGCAGCCTGTGCCGCTCCCGCCGCAGCATCGTGCCGTCCTCGCCCCAGTCTCAGCGTGCCCAGCTGCCTCCGCATGCCCCGGCGAACCCCCGGCACACACACCAGCCCCAGCACACACAGCACTCATTGCCTTCCCCGGATCCGGACATCCTCTCGGTTTCTAGCTGCCCCGCTTTATATCGAAATGAAGAGGAGGAGGAGGCCATCTACTTCTCGGCCGAAAAGCAATGGTACTGGCGATGGATAAGCTGCGCGGGGGTGGGGACTAGCTAGGGCATTGTGTTCGTTTTCTGTGGCTACGTAACAAGTTACTGCCATTGAGGGGCTTCAAATAACTCCCGGCGATGAGCTCTTGGTCCCGGTCAGTCATAGGCCAGAAGTCCAAGCCTGGTTCTCTCTCCAGGAGAACACGAGGTGCAAGAAGCTAAGGTGTTGTCTGGGTTGCATTCTCCTCTGACCCGTGAAGTCGGCTGAAAGGCTCATGGTCTCGTGTGACATTTCAATTCCTGTGGCTATTGGACAGCCATTTGCTGGTTTGCTTGCTGTCAACCAGGGCCAGCTTTCTGCTCCTGGACTCTGCTCATGTTCCATGCCACAAGACTTGTCCATGACTGCCAGCACAGAGAATCTCCTTCCTATTAGTCCTCCCTCCCTCTCTGTCTCAACCTCTCTCAGGTCTCTGTACCTCAGTTTAAAACACTTTAGGAATTCAGGCCCATGCAGTCGATCTTTCTTTTCAGATGGACTGGCTTGGGACCTTTACTTATATTTGCCAAATCCCTTGACAGTACCACACAGATTAACGTTTGGAGAACAGTTTGCCTGGAATGCCCCCAGTGTTATGTCTACATAACTCCTTCTAGTTCTCCAAACGTTAATCTGTGTAGAGACTTAAAAAACATTAAAAAGTCTAGATGACTTAAAAAACATAATAATAATAGCAATGAATATCTAGTGGTCATTTATGTCCTGATCATTAAGCATCCACATACACACTCTTTTACACCTCACCCAGAGGAAGTGTCTCTCTACTTGCATTTAATTCATCTAATTTGATTCCACATGAACACGGCAAGGGAAAACGAATAGTTAAATGGTGTAGATGGTCCAGCTGAGTATTTCCGGCAGGATATGCTCTCGAGAGAAAGGGGCGCCTGAAGACACACTCTGCCTGCACCCCAAGTCGGATTGGTTTTGTGCAAGAAGCAGCACTTCACGTGATTCCTTTTTAAATGAAAAGACAAGCGCTCTAAGTAACTTGAAAGGTTAATGAAGCTCTCCTAATTTGGGGAGCTTCACTCTTTGCTGTGAAAAAATAAAGTGCTTTGCCCCAGACTGTAGAGCTGACTGGTGGCTGACCAGGCCACTCAGCCAAGCCAGCTGACTTAGTTCAGAGGTGTTCTCACACGTTATTTCAACATCAGAGACTCGGTTTTGAAATTTTTTTTACCTAGCTTAGAATTTCACAGCATGCTGCAGTTGAGCCCTGTGGAACAGAAAGTGAGTTCTTCCAATGAAATCAGCTTCTGGCTCTGAAAGCTGACCCCTCTCAGGCACTTGGGATGGGTGTTCTTCCGCACATGTTCACCCAGTCCACAAGAAACCTCATGGTCTGGTCCCCCAGTGGGGGATTTGTGAACCTGACCATTTCCTCAGTCTGAGCTGTCTCTCACCCGCTGTTGAGACTGTCTGCTACCGGAACCTAAAAGCTCTTGAAAATTGATGGCAGTTGCCCCCACATTTGAAGTCTGCTTTGCTGGGGGCAGTTTGTTACCTCAGGTGCTTGCAGTGCAGTAAAGGCAGCCTTCACACTCACATGTGAGTGACACATGCAGAATGATAAGTGAATCCAACAATTCAATTCTTACCTAAAATATGGTATAACATGCACTGCATGCCAATGGTAATAGTAATGGTGACAGTCATCTTGGTCCATCCCAGGAAGGACAGCATCCATTCTGCACAGACTCATTTAGTCCTGGCTATGTGCTGTGCACTTGCTAATATGCTGAGCTGTTAGGATAAATGAGAAGAGGTCTTTCCCTAGTTCTGATGAGAAGATGACAGCCCTATGGGTTCTTGCTTTTCTGCTCACTCTGTTCCTCCCACCTTATTTCTTTGGCCATTAATGTTAACCTCTCGTTCCTTAATCATCCCTGTCATACAGTGAACAGTATACAAAAGGCAAGTGAGATACGGCCTGTGTTCTCCAGAAGGCCACTCTATTCGCCCATTCATTCTTGTAGCACAAGTTTACTCAGCAGTGGCTCCTCCCTACTGGTCACGGTGCTAGGGCCAAGGGTACAGAAATTACTAAGCCTTCCTGCCCTCATAAGTTCGTGTAAAACGTGACTTTAGATAGTGACACGTTCTAGAAAGGTCAAGGCTGGTAAAGGAAAGAGAATACCAGTTTAGTTTGGGTGCTCTGTGTACCTTGGAGAGCACTGTGGGGAGGAGGAAACCATGCGGAGTGTGAGAGGTCCGACCAGGCAGGGAAACAGCGAGTGAGGCATGAGCTTGGTCCTCTGCAGGAACAAGAAGGCAGCCGAGGTGACTGACCTTGGGCAGAACATGGCCGGGCTTGCAGTCAGGGTCTGGATCGTACAGGGCCTGCGAGGTATGCGGTTTACCCTGAGCGTGGAAGGACACTTGAGGATTCTGAGCAAGGGGATGGTGTGCCCTGGTGGGATTCTTGAAAAGCATTATCCAGGATGGCTAGAGAAGTGACTGGGGACAGGGCAGAATACGAAGGAGAGCAGGGAAACCCCCCAGGATGCTGTTGCAGTCCTGTGAGGCGGGTGGGGGGTGGGAAGGAGTTCCCTGGGCTTCAGAATGGGAGTAATGGTGATGAGGAGAAGCGGCTGATTGGGGGAAGACTTGGGAGGAATGACAGCTAGCATTTGCTATATATTGCCCATGAGGCTGTCAGCGTTATTATTCCACCCCTCTACTTCCCTTCTTACTGTGCAGGAGTAGGGTGATGTCACCAAGGAATCAACTGGGGAATCTGTTGAGTGCCTGCTTTTCACAAAGCAGTATTGTATAGGGTGCCATTCCTGTCCAACATAGATCCAGATCCCCACTTTTCCCTGCTCCAACACCAGCTGGAGCAGACTGCATCCTGTCTGCCCAGCCGCCTAGAGCTATGTCCCCCGGACCAGCCACCTGCTGCACCCACTTCTCCACGCTGACCACTGGAGCCAACTAACCGCACTGCTCTTCTGCCTCATCTCCCGAGCTCAAAAGTAGTGCTGTGCTCAGGATATGCTCGTTCTTGTAGGGGAAAAAAGGATGCAAACAAATGTGGAGAGCCTGGTCGGGAGGGCCCCCATTGCAGAGCTCCCATGTCCCATCAGCACTCACTCCTGTCTCACGTGCCTGAACCTTCTGCCTCTAAAGCCTTTCTTGTGGGGTTCACTCAGCAATGCCACCCTCAGACCCTCCCGTATCAGGCCTGGCACCACTGTGAGGTAATCATGAGATATTGCATGGTGGGTTTTACAGGCCCCCCCAGTCCCCTCGCAACCTCACTTCATCCTCACCCTGAACTTCACCCTCACCTGCAAGGTTAGAAACCCCTATTGAAGACATGTTCTCAGCTTGCGAAAGTGTCTTAGCCATCAAGAACAGAGGTCAAATCATATTAGCTAAAGCTGCACTCTTTACCATGTGCCCTCCCTTTCCCCCTTTTAACTTGGGGGGACTTTTACTTTAGCATTCCACATTCCTCTGTTCCTTTGAGTAGCTATAGTTCATCAAATTAATGGCAAAAAACTTAAAGGCCCGGGTAGTGACTGAAATTCTTCTTCTCCAATATATGCTGTCAACTCTTTGACTGCAAAATGAGAGTCCCGCTGAAACCAAACTGACATCGTCAGAATCCATGCGTTGTCAACGCTCGCGTCCTTTCTCTAATGATTGAAGAAGCGTAACTTACGGGCTATTTCTTAGGTGGTTGTTGGATGGTCAGATGCCATTTATAGTAAAAATTAACAAGTGAGCTTTGCTAGGCGATCCTGCTTAAAGTACACAGTTTCTCGTTCTGTTAACATCGGTGTAGGACTTTGGCACGTCCCCTCTTTAAATTCCAGTCGATTACGGGCAGAGAGCAGCGTTGTTTTAGTTAGAACTCTGCGGGGTGGCTGATGCACACGGCAACCTCCGATGCTGACTTTCACCTCTCTGTGCCCTCAGGGAAGTGCCCGACACTGCTTCCGAATGTGACTCCTTAAACTCCTCCATCGGGAGGAAACAGTCCCCTCCCTCCAGCCTGGAGATCTACCAAACGCTCTCTCCTCGAAAGACCTCCAGAGATGAGCTCTCCCTGGAGGGTTCGTCCCGAGGAGACTCGCCCATCACCGCAGATCTCTCTCGGGGCTCTCCCGACTGTGTGGGCCTGACGGAGACCAAGAGCATGATCTTCAGCCCCGCCAGCAAGGTGTACAACGGCATCCTGGAGAAGTCCTGCAGCATGAACCAGCTGTCCAGTGGCCTCTCGGCCTCGAAGCCACGCCACACGGCCTGCTCCTCGGCTGGCTACGACAACAAGCCCATGCAGGAGGCTCCGAGTGTGGCCAGGATAAGCAGCATCCCACACGACCTTTGTCACAATGGCGAGAAAAGCAAAAAGCCATCCAAAATTAAAAGCCTTTTTAAGAAGAAGTCTAAATGAACTGGCTGACTTGGTGGAATTCCATCCAAGTGGCACCTTTAAACTGTTACCACCTCCCCCCTCCCCCTCCCCACTCCTTTCCCTCCCCCTCCCCATGACTTTTTTGTTGTTTTAATTTTAGGAATGTAACTCCATTGGGTTTTCCAGATTGGATGCCATAGTGGAATGTCCTTAAGGGCAACTGTCTGCTGTCTGCTTATTTAAGTGACTAGATAGTCAGTTCATCCAGCCAGTCTTACTGAAGAAATCATTCAGAGATGAGACAGTTTACAGTCATTTCTGCCTATTTATTCTGCATTGTTACTGGTGATGTACATACAACTCGTTGTTGTGAAAGCCACCATGGACTTACAAGCTTTAATGGACTCGTAAGCCAGCATGGGCTTGCAAAAATCTCTTGTTTACCAGAGCATCTTCTCATCTTTCCACAGAGCTATTGTTATCCTGGACTAAATAACTTAAAAGAAGTCAAACTAATTGCACTACTGTTTTCCAGACTGGGGGCGGGAAAGGGGAGGGGAGGGGTGATTTGGGGTGGACGGGGCGGGAATAAAATCCCTGTAAGTGAAACTGTACAGAGTTTATAAAAAAGACTATGGATTGGGGACTGTTTTCACTTTTAGATCAAAAAGGGTTTTTAAGTAGAACCTAGAGTTTCTAATTGACTTGATTTCTGGAACTGAACCCCCGGCTTTTACTATGGGAAGTTTCTCTCAATTCATTTATTAGGGTCAAAGATCTGTTGTTCTGTTCCCCAGGGCTTTCACTGTGATTCGCTGCGTTGCAGGCTGCGTGACGAACTATAAATATGGGGAAAGGAGAAGGCTCTCGATTCCTTAGGCAAGTGGAAGAGTTGGAACTTGGTGGAAGGACTTAAAACATTCACAAGGGTAAACGGAGGTTGTGGGGGAGAGGCGGATACCAGGCTCAGGCACTTGTTTACAGGTTTGGAATAACTGCAAAGGACTTACGGTTTGTGAAAAACGTGTACTGTGGAAAAGATAATAAAGTGGAGATGTTATTCTGTGGGATTGTGCTGATTTCTGTTAATAACACTCCACCAAAAAAACAACAAACTCAAACAAAAAACACTATGTTTTCTAGTGAGCCATGTTAAACCGTCTTATTGCCCAATTGCAATATAAGGAACAGAACAGTGTTTTGGATTACGTAAGTTGTCAACGAATATCTTTCAATTTTTTTATTGTTTGTCATATTTTAATGTAGTTTGAACTGTTTAAATATTCTAACATCAAGATTAACAAATATAAATTTATGGTGCATTTAGATTGTGTTGTTTTAATTTGTAACCTTTGGGGCTCATGTAACTCTGCTAGGTAATAAGGGTAGCTTTCACTACAGAGGGTTCACTCGCCCAGAGCATCGAGGCCCATCAATGTTTGGGGATTTGAACCACTTCATTTAAAAATCCAGGCAGAGTCAGGCTGAACTACTGATAGCAATTAGCTTGGATGGCTGTGAGCAGCATGGCTGAAACTTGTTGTGAGATGCCATCGAGTGTGTTCCGACGCCTAGCGACCTTCTGCACAGCAGAATGAAACACCGCCCAGCCCTGCGCCATCCTCACACCGGTTCCTATGTTTGAGCCCATCTCCTTGAGGGCTTTCTTATTCCTGCTGCTTCACCTTACCAAGTATGATGTCCTTCTCCAGGCAATGTGATGTGTTTCTCCTGACAATATGGCCAAAGTATGTGAGACCAAGTCTTGCCATCCTTGCTTCTAACAAGCATTCTGGCTGTACGTCTTCCGAGACAGATTTATGTGTTCTTTTGGAAGCCCATGGTACTTTCAATATTCTTGTCTAGTATAATTCAAATGCATCTATTATTATTCTTTTTTTTAAATCATTTTATTAGGGGCTCATACAACTCATCACAATCCATACACACATCTATTGTGTAAAGCGCATTTGTACATTCATTGCCCTCATCATTCTCAAAACATTTCCTCTTCACTTAAGCCCCCTGCATTAGGTCCTCATTTTTCCCCTCCCTCCCGGCTCCCCCCTCCCTCATGAGCCCTTGATAGTTTATAAATTGTTATTTTGTCATATCTTGCCCTGTCCGACGTCTCCCTTCACCCACTTTTCTGTTGTCCGTCCCCCAGGGAGGAAGGAGGTTACATATAGTTCCTTGTAATCGGTTCCCTCTTTCCTACCCACTCTCCCTCTACCCTCCCTGTGCATCTATTATTATTCAGTCTTCCTTATTCAGTGTCCAACTTTCACATACATTAGGAGGCAATGGACAATACCATGCTTGGGTCTGGTGCACCTTCGTCCTCAAAGTAACCTCCCTGATGTTCAACATTCTAAAGAGATCTTGTGCAATAGATTCGTCTAATGCAGTAATCTTTGGATCCCTGACTGCTGCTCCACGGGCATGGATTGTGGATCCAAGTAAGATAAAAGCCTTGACAACTTCATTTTTTTGGTCTCCATTTACCACGATGTTACCTATTGGTCCAGTTGTGAGGATTTTGGTATTGTAATCTATACTGCAGGCTACAATCCATAAACCTCATCTGCAAGTGCTTTAGGTCCTCCTCACTTTCAGCAAGCAAGATTGTGTCCATCTGCCTATCACAGGTTCTTAATAAGCCATCCTCCAATGCTGAATGGCACATTGCTCTTCATATAAGCCGGTTTCTTTGATTTGGTCAGCATACAGATTGAACAAGGATGGTGGGAGAATAACAACCCGATGCAACTCTGTCCTGAGTTTAAACCATGCGGTCAAGCATACGTTGTCAGAAAACCCATTGCTGTGGAGTCGGCTTTGCCTGACGATGACGCCACTGGTGTTGGTAAAATTGCACTCCATGGTGTTTCTCATGGTTGGTTTTTCAGATGGGGATTGCCAGGCCTTTTCTTCGAGGCATCTGTGGGTGGACTGGTCACCTTTAGATGAGCTGCGCTGCCTCACTGTTTGCACCACCCAGGACTCCAGGTGGGCTCACTGAGTGCTATTTACGTAGTTGAAAACACTGCCTGATTGGTTCCCTATTAAGGCTATGAATAGTTTTCTGGGACTTCAGTGATTCAATGCAGTCATTACAAACCAGAACACAGTGCTGTCAGGGCAACAATGGATGGACTGATGTGAATGTAGCGTTCTGGATGAATAAGTAAAGGTAATCTAACCAACAAGGCGAGAGTGGACGGTGTGTGAAAAGCTGGAAAGCACGCGAGAAAGTGAATTCTGTGCAGGGAAGAAGATAAGCTGCTTTCCCCTGCTTTCAACCAGATGGAAATTCCTCCGTAGTTTGGAAACTATGAAAGAGAAGGGGACTTGGTAGTTTGGTGGAGCAAGGAGTGAATCAGAAGCTGGAACAGCCCTAGGAGCCTGCTTGACTGTGTAGTCTGAGAAGGGAATTCTGGGACAGCGCCACCTGGTGACTGGAAGTCTGGTTGGAGCTGGGGAGAAGCTGACCTCAGAGAGGTAGGACAGGCATTGTTTCTGCTCCGTCCCACAGTCATTGATAAACAAATCCCATGAAGGGGTGTATGCAGTTTTAAATTGCTTGTAATATGTGTTTTGCATGATACATTTTTGTCAATCCAACAGAAAACGGGTTTTGGGAAGCCACTCTGCCTTCTTACTTGCAGCACCATCTACACATGAAGAGTTGGATGCGTCAATGCATTTTTAAATTACCCTGCGGGTACCTTATTTTAACTTTCTTAAACATATGTTTTCTTGATTTGAAAAGGAACACTTCCTTGCTCTAGGAAAAGATGACTGCTAGAAGAGTGTGAGGACAACCAGCAGGCAGCAGTTGTAGATTTACACAATCAAAATCGTACTAGATGTTCAATTTTTTTAATAATCATTTTATTAGGGGCTCATACAACTTATTACAATCTGTACATACATCACTTGTGCCCAGCACATTAGTACATATGTTGAACTTCATCATTCTCACAACACCCGCCCTCCACTCGAGCCCTAGTGTCAGCTCATTTTTCCCCCTCCCTCCCCGCTCCCCCCTGAACCCTTGATAATTTACAAATTATTATTTTATCATATCTTACCCCATCCGACGTCTCCCTCACCCACTTCTCCGCTGTCCATCCCCCAGGGAGGAGACCATATGTAGACCTTGTCATCTCTTCCCCTTTTCTCCCTCACTTTCCCTCCACCCTCCTGATATTGCCACTCTCTCCACTGGTCCTGTGGGGTTCATCTGTCCTAGGTTCACTCTATTTCCAGTTCCTATCTGTGCCAGTGTACATCCTCCGGTCCAGCCAGATATGTAAGGTAGAATTGGAATCATGGTAGTGGGGGGGAAGCATTTAAGAACTAGAGGAAAATTGCATATTTCAGTTTTATAGCATGCTTTTTTGGTCTTAATATAAGCATCTCTCCATCATTAAAATCTCTCAGTGGATAACATTTTGATGTACTGGTTGTTTAGTACACTATTATATGGATTTGCCATAATCATCTCAACCATTAGACTGTTTCCACATTTCGGGCATGTGAAATAATAGCATTTGCTACTCACTGAACACTCTTTAGCTCTGTTTTAAACTGTAACACCTTCTCATGTAATCTTTATATCAATACGATAAATTGGGTTCTGGTTTGCTTTTTGTCTTTTAAGATCACAATTTTTTCTTTTAACTGTTAAGCCAAGGCCAGAAAATTAGCAATGTGTTGAAGATCATATAACTAGGACTTGATAGAGCCCCATTCTTAACTCCTGAGTCATATTGCATGAATTCTAATCTCCATGTTAATTTCTTAGAATACATTCTTAAAAGTGTATAAAAAAGTGTAGTGATCATTTTAGTTAATCATTTAGTTACATGTACATACACATAGCTAGGGAGCCCTGGTGGCATAATGGTTCCACATTGGGCTGTGATCCACAAGGTCAGCAGTTCAAAACTACCAGCTGCTCCCTGGGAGACGGGGTTTCTATTCCTGTTAACAGTTACAGTTTTGGAAACACAGGGACAGTTCTACCCTCTCCTTTAGGATGACTATGAGTTGGCAAGACTCACAGCAGTGGTTTTTCCTTTGTGTAATACATATACCTTGGTGTAACTATTTTTAAGGTTCTATATCCCTATGAGCCTGGACTGTAAGGTACCTAGCATCATGAAGGTTGGCACCGGACCAGACAACGAAACATTTGGTTAACTCAAGGTCTGTGATGTAGAGGCAGCATGAGGACAGAGAACAGCAACATCCCTAGTGCCACACCGGCTTCCCGCCTGAACCCTTGAGCAGAGAAGGTGGTCATGTGCCGGTCACACCACACAAGCATGTTTGTAGAACTGTGTGGTTCAAATGTTGCTAATTCCACAGGCAAATGGTGAGAGTTGAGTTGTGCATCCACTGATGGAAGTTTCCCTTGTTTACTAGTCTTCTGCATTTCCCCCGTGGGGTCACAGGATCCTAGTGTTTCCCTAAATGTTTTCAATTGTAACTATTCTTGGTTTCATTTGATCAACTTTGATTTTGATAAATTGT